AGATGTTTGTCCTTGCCATTGTTGTTCAACATTTTACTGGAGATGCTAGCTAGGGCATTTTGTCAAGAAAAAGAAATAAAAGGCATTCAGACTAGAAAGGATGAAGTAAAATGATCTTTACTCACAGATGATATGATCTTATATACAGAAAAGCCTAAGAAATGCATTTTTTAAATCAGTGGAATAAATAAGCTCCGTAAAGTTTCAGGTTGCAAGCTCAGTATAAAAATGTAGTTGCAATTCTATATACTTATAATACATAATCCAAGAATGAAACTAAGAAAGTGATTTTATTCATAATATCAGCAATAAGAGTAAAATATTTAGGAATAAATTTACAAAAAATGTGCAAACATATACTCTGATAATTCTTAAACATTAGTGAAAGAAAAGAAGACCTAAATAAATGGAAAAATATCTCACATTCATAAATCAAAAAATATTTACTGGGGATATAGCTCAGTGGTGCCATGCCTGCCTAGCAAGCCTAAGGTCCAGTAACAAAAAAAAGAAAAAAATCATTTATTAAATCTTAAAAAAGATTTAATACTATCAAGATGATAATACTCCCTAGATGGATCTATAGATTCAATAATCTCTATTGAAATCCTAGCTGTCTTCTTTTTAGAAATTGATAAACTGGTAAGTTCATAAAATTTATATGGAATTGCAAAGGATGCCGAATAACAAAAATACTTTCAAAAAAAGAACATAGGAGAAGCCATACTGGACAATTTCAAAACTCACTATACAATGATGGTAATTAAGACAATGACAGTAATCAAGACAGTGTGATACTAAAACAAAGATAGACCTATAGATCAACAGAACAGAATTGAGAGTTTAGAAATAAACTTATTATGTCTATGATCAACTTATTTTCAATAAGAGTACCAAGACTGTTCGTGGGGAAAGAGTACTCTAGGTAGGGGGACAAGGACTAAAGAAAAAAAACCAATAGAGATTTTCACAGTTTCAAAGTATGGGGAGGGTCAGTGCCGCAGAGTGGGCAAAGACAAAGACTCTCTGAGCTTTCCACTATTTATTGCATTGTAGGGAGTATCAGATGACTCAGAGGGTGCCAGTAACCCTATGACTATGAGGTTCTTATGCTGATGAGGATCTTAGGTCAATGAGGAGCTTATGTTGATTAGGATGTTGAGATGAGCGACATGGTCTTACAACAGTAGGTGAAATGAGTAAAGCTGTTAAGGGATTTCCCCCTCCCCAGGTGAAAACTGTTCTTTTTGTATTACTACTCATTCTCAAGGTCAGCTGATGTCCTCTCACCCTTGATCCTCACAGCATCACAGAACCATTGAGGCTTCAGACAGCCCTAATAATAATTTAATTGTGAAATTATTTTTTCCCAAAATTATGTAGAATGGCTCCCAACAATACACTTTTCAATAAGCGGTGCTAGCCCTCACCTACAAAAAATGGATAGCTTTCACCTACAAAAAAAATTGTTCCTTATCACACACTGTATAAGTAATTAACTCAATTTTTTATCAGACCTAAGTGTAAAAGCAGAAGCTATAAATCTATCAGAAAAAAATGTAAAAGTAAATTTTCATGACCTTGGATTTGGCAAAGAATTTTTACATATGGCACCAGAAGCATAAGCAAAAAAATTAAAAATAGGTAGATTAGACTTAATCAAAATTAAAAACATTTGTATCTCAAAAAAAATAAAAATAGAAAAAAACATTTGTATCTCTAAGGTCACTATCAAGAAAGTGAGGAGATAACCCACAGAATGAGAAAAAATATTGGAAAATCATACATCTGACAAGGAATTTCTATCTAGAATATATATTTTAAAACTCTTATAATTCAATAATAAAAAGACAACTCAATTTTTTAAAAAAGATAAGAATTATAACAGACATTTCTCCAGGGAAGATACACAAGAAGCCAATAAGCACATAAAAAGATCCTCAAATCATTTGTTATCTGAGAAATGCAAATCAAAACCATAATGAAATATCACTTTACACCCACTAGGATAGTTAGACTCAAAAGTGTCACATATGGGTTGGAAAGGCTGTGGAGAAAGAAGAATCCTCATACACTGCTAGTGGGCATGCAAAATGGTCCTGCTTCTTTGGAAAACAGCCTAGCAGCTCCACATATGATTACATTAGAGTTGTGTATGTCTTAGTTACTATTTTCATTGCTGAGACAAAATACCTGACACCCAAAGTTAAAGGAGGAAAAGTTTATTGTAGCTCAGTTTGTCAAGGTTTCCGTTCATTGTTGGCTGGTTCCAAGGCAGGGTGGCATGGCGGAGGGGCATTGCAGAGGAGAAACAGTTCATGGCAGGCAGAAGGCAGCAAAGCAGCAGCCATCTTTCTGTCCCTTATATCCTACCCAGGGTGGGGCACCCTTAATCCTAGCATCGTACCATTAATCCCAGCATCACATCCTTAACCCCATCATCACACATCCTAGATCCAGCCACCCCAAAAAGCCCCACCTGTGACTGCATGAGGCTTTGGGGGACATCTAGATACAAGCCATAACATTTCATTACACAGCAATTTCACTCCAAATTATACACTCAAGATAAATAAAAGCATATGTTCACATAAAACCTTGCACATGAACAGTTAAAACAGTATCATTTGTAATAGTCAAAGGTGGAAACAACCCAAACGTCCACCAGTGGGTAAGTGAAATATCACGTTCACACAATGGAATATTATTTGGCTACAAAATGAAGTACAAACACGTGATACAACATGGGTGAACTTTGGAAAACATATTAAGTAAAAAGCACTAGACTCATAAGACCACATATTATATGATTCTAGGGTGGAGCTCAATGGTAAAGCTTGATGCTTTCCTGTCTTGTCATGTGACCTCTTCTTCTAGCGTATGTTTCTGCTATTGTGATGCCATCTGCCCCAGGCCTTCACCAGAGTTGAAGAGCTGAACTGATGCTGGCTGGCACCCTGCTCTTAAAACTCCAGAACTGTGAGTTTAAAAAAACCAAAAAAAAAAAAAATTTCCTTGTAAAGTTACCTGGGCTCGAGTATTTTTATTTACACCAATGGAAAACGGGAGGAAACTGAGGTTGGAGAGGTTCTGTGCCCCAAGATTATTCATTTTGTGAATGAAGAAGCTAAGGTGAGTGGTTCGAACCTGGTAGAACTAACCTTTTCTCTGGTGAAGCTGTGCAGAGGCAGGAAAGCCAGAGCTGGTGCAGTGTGCCAGGAAACTTCCAAGGGCTCAGCTCCTTCTGGCTCACTCGCTGGCCCAGCACAGCTGCTAGAGCTGAGCCACTACCTCTGAGCTTGGAGAAAGGGATTATGAAGAGGGTCCTTAAGGGCACACCCTGAATCACGTGCTGCACAGGCTCCAATCTCTTTCTCCAAGTGTAGTCATATGGCAAACCCAGCTGCCACAGCCTGGGAAATGTGGTTATCATTATGTGAATCTAAAACCCTAGATTCCTGTTATTTAGCAATGAGGGCAAATGGATATTAAGGGCAGCTAGAAATCTCTACTGTATTTCCTAATTAGATTTCTGAAGCTTGCACATACTTGGTATTAAATCCAAACAAGGATATTACGGAAAGTAAAAATTATAGGCCAATCGAGCTCATAAGCAAAGTTGTAAAAATTCTTAAAGAAAATCAGGCATGAGTTTATCCCAGTATAGTTTATCCCAGGACTATAAGGGTGACTTATGTTGTTTAATATATTAATACAACTGACTATATCAGTCAATTAAAGAAGAAACATACATCCGGCATGGTAGTGTATGTCTGTAATTCTAGCACTCTGGGAGGCTGAAGCAGGAGAATTGCAAATTTGAACCAACCTGAGCAACTTAGCAAGAACCTGTCTCAAAAAAATAAAGAGGTCCAGGGATGTAGCTCAGTGTGAAGGCCCTGGGCTCCATCCCTAGTACCACAAAAAAGAAAAAAGAAACATGCTCTACCAGATAGTAAAACATTTTAAAGCTGTAGTAATTAAAGCAGAAGAATGAACAAAGCATCTAGTGAAATAGCCCAATAATGGACCTGCTCATATACGAAAGCTTGCAAGTTATAGAGTTGGTATTGTAAATCACTAAAGAAAGGACAGATTAATGAATGGTGCTAGGAAAATTTGTAATTTAGTTGGGAAAATAACAGTAAATTGGGCTGAGGATATAACTCATTATAAGGTCTAGCATTAGTAAGGTCCTAGGTTCAATAACACTAGTAATGATAATAAATTGGACTCTAACTTTGTTCCATGTGCAAAAAATCAATTCCAGATGGATCAAGAACTTTGATGTAAAAGGCAAGTTTAACCTCTTTTAAAGAGTGCATATCAAAATGTATCTATATTTATATTTCAAAGAAAGATTTATTAGGCAAGAAAACAGAAAGCACTAATCATAAAAGAAAATAATGATAAATTCAACTACCTTCAAATTAAGACTTCAGTTCATCAAAAGCCTATTTAAAAAGTGAAATTTTCCAGGCATGGTGGCACACACCTGTAACCCCAACACTTGGGAGCCTGAGGCAGGAGGATAACCACAAGTTGCAGGCCAGCCTGGGCTACATAGCGAGTTCAAGGCCAGACTGAACTACACAGAGAGATCCTGTCTCAAAATACCCAGAAAAAGAAAGTACAAGTCAGAAATGGGAAGAAATATTTGCAATAAAAACAAAACTGTTCTAATATTAGTATATTAATATATTAAAACTCAAAACAAAAATGGGCAAAAGATATTAAGGGCATTTTACTACAGAAAAGTGAATGCCAGATAAGCATAGGAAACAAGGCTTAGGCACCTTAATTACCTGGAAGTTGTTATTGTTTACATCTAGATACCCCCCCCCCAAGGCCTCACTGCTGATAGGTGGAGCTTGGGAGTGGTCATTAGTCATGGGGGTGGGTGTGATATTCATGGGTGGACTAATTCTCCAGTGAATTTATTGCTGATTTACCATTAGGAGGTGGATCTGGTCTGAAGAGGTGGGTCACTGGGGTGTGGCCTGGGAGGGTCTATCTCTTCCCCTGTTCTCTGTTCACTCTCTGCCTGCTTCCTGTCTGCTAGGCTAAGAGTCAGCCTCCTCTGCCTGGCCCCTCTGCCACGAAGCCCTGCCTTGCAGCCAGCTGACTTTGGACCGAGACCTCTACAAACTGTGAGCCAAAATAAGACTTTCCTCTTCCAGTTTGTGGGTATTGCGAAAGTAATTAAAACAGAAGTGCAAACTAATATCAGAAGAAGTTAATGTTTGCCAGTCAGTCACTAAATAGAGAAAATTAAGACATCTGTTACATAGCAAGACTCGGCCTCCAAAAATAAATGCTTGTCACCAGAAGTGCTTCAGGTTTTGAAATATCTGCATATTCATGAGATGTCTTGGGGATGGAACTCAAGTCTAAGCAGAAGATTTATTTGTGTTTCATGTATACCTTACACACATAGCCTGAATTTAATTTTATACAGTATTTGTAGTACACCTACATTTTGGCTGCAACCCGTCACGTGAACTCAGTTACAAAATTTTCCAGCTGTGGACTTTGAAGCATTTTGGTCTAGGAGTGTTTTGAGTTTTCAGTTTCAGCCCGGACAGCAAAACTAGCATGACTTCCTTTTTCCTTCTTTTCTTGGGGGAAATGTGGGGATACTGAGGATCAAATCCAGGGGCACTCTACCACTGAGCTACATCCCCAGCCCACGTTCTCACTAAACTGTCCAGGTGAGACTCAAACCTGCACTCCTCCTGTCTCAGCCTCCCTCAGTGCTGGGGTGACAGTCATGTGGCACCATACCTGGCTCCTTTTCCCTTCTTCACAACTTCACAGAAAGAAGATTCATGTTTACTATAAATCTTAGGAATCTCAGCATAGGACTTTTTCCTTTTCTTATTAAGTGGAGAATCCTTGCCTTTCAGTTAAAGGAAGCACTTTACATCTTTTCTTTGGCATATCTAAATGTATGGAATACTTCTCTTGCACTTCAAGGTCATTATTAAGTGAAGTTAGACTTACTTAAACTCAGCCACTGCAAAATCAGAACAATAAATCTGATGACTGAGACTGCTATTAAGTGACAATATGTTACTAGGTTTTAGGATGCTGGGGCTTCATTCTGGAGGTGGTTTCTAGGTTCTTTCCATCCTGAGCGAAGAATTGGTCAATAAAACCACAACTGGTTGCAAAATTTTATTAAAGGTAGGAAGAGAAACAGGCTCTGTGGAGCAAGTTTGGGCCAAGTGAAAGCAGGAAAAGAAGCACACCCTGCAGCGTGAGGACGGGCCACATGCATGAGAGAGCATAGTGGCAAAAATCTTAATAGCAACCATCCTTTTTGTGTCATGCACTCCTCAGGCTGAGGTCAGGTCCGGGCCATCCTATCAAAAACCTGCTCCAGTTCTCCAGAGAAGTCTGTGAGCAGGGCTTTGGGAGCTGTTCTGCCCACGTGTCCCAGGATGGGGGCGGGGGGGGCTTCTTGACCTTTTGAGACAAGCTCTCAATGTATAGTTCAGGCTGGCCTTGAAATCAGTGTGTAGCCCAGGCTGGCCTCAGCCTCATGGGCTATCCTCTTCCCTCAGTCTCCCACCTGCTGGGATTACAGGTCTGCACAACCACACCAGGCTGTGGCACTTTGTAATTAACAGGTCACATCTACTTCTCCAGGCAGCTTTGCCACACCCTAACCTCCTGACTCTAGTGGACAGGTAAATGTATACAGCATGGATCCCCCGGACAAAGGTTCGATTCTCATCCTGTGTGCGAGGAAGAGGGATAGGGCAAGCTTCATGCTACTCAGAATAGTAAGCAATTTCAAACTTACAAACTATTTACCTCTGGAATTTGCAATTTAATATTTTTAGACCACACCTAACCCAGGGTAAATGAAACCATGGAAACTGAAACCACAGATAGAGAAATATATCAAAATGTTCATAAATATTTTATAGTAACCTATATATATCCTTCTGTTTTAAAGTAATTTTCCTGAAGTGTCAAGAATGCAAGGTTGATATTAATATCAAAAACACTTTCAAGGGCTAAGGATGTAGCTCTGGGATAATGGTGGCCTAACTGCAAGGCCCTGGGTTTGATCTCCAGCACTGCCAAAAAGAAAAAGAAAAAAACCCACTTATGGTGAAATTTCTAAACAAGAGCAAACCTTCTGAGCTTGTATTTCAAAGGAGTATGTATAAACAGAGCAATTCTATTATAATTCAAATCAAACCCAGGGCCTGTAGAGCTCACGTTCCTACACATCTATGGAGTAGCAGTAGACCTAAACGTTGGAAGTCGCCAAGCAGATTAAGATCTCATCAGTACCTTTTCCCCTTTAACTAGGTTTGTTGTCGCAATCAAAGGCTCTACCACTTATCCCAGAGAATAAGATCAAGGGTGGCAAGACCTACCAGACCTGAGGCCTCTCCTTTGCGCTCCCCGGCCTGCCAAAGGTGAAAAACCACAACTCCCACAAGTCTTTGCGGGCCCGGGGCGTGGTAGTTTCGCTGATTGGTTGTTCTGCAGCTCCAATCAAGCGATAATTGGCCAGCGGAAACCGGAGGCGTGACCCGGCGAGACGGGTGACTTCTGCTCTCAGGTCCAAGTACCCCGGGCGAACTCGAAGCGGGAGCTCCAGGGAAGCATGGCTCTGTGGTATCTTTGCGTGTTACTGCTAAATGTCGCCACTGCCTCCAGGTCTCAGGGCCTGTGGGACATGGAGCTACGGGAGACATCGCGAATCCCTTCTCACTTCTGCAGACGGGAGCGCATCGCTATGATAGAGGCGCTACAAGGTGAACCTGGGTCCCTTCTGCCCACTGCTGTTCGTTCACACGCCGGTCCCTCGGTCCTGGTGACTGCGCAGAGGGTCCTCTACTCAAGATGGAGGTCGGCCACACACCTCGCCCGGCCCAGTCCCGGCCCCCCGCATCAGTCCCCGACTTGGGTTCACCTTTCTTCCCCCCGACCCGGTTTCCGGGGCTCCTGTTCCCTGCCCAGCTGGAAGTCCCGACTTTGTCCTCTTGGCCTGGCCGCCGCCCACTCCACCCCTTCCTTGCCTCTGATATTACAAGGGCTACTGAAGCTTCACGTCTGTTAAATCTCTGTGGTATCTTAAAATCAAACTAAGTGATCTTAGTCTTGTCTCCAGAGGAGGGGAGTTGAGGTTCGTAAAGTGATCTTCCCCAGTTTGGGGAGCAAGGACTGGGGCCTGGGTGACAACAGCAAATGTCTAGACTCACTGGGCTCCTTATAGCTCCAAGAAAGAGTGTGGAGTGTTCCTGGGATGTGAAACGTTCCTCATCCCCTTTCTTATTTGAAGTACCTAACGAGGCTAACAACGCATTCATCCTCTGAACCTGTTTTCCAGGAGGAAAGAGGAGAGTTTCTGTTGAGTGTTAGATCCTGTGGGATAATGGGATCTGTCCTGGCCACTGGGCCTAGTTCCAGTGTTTTCCTTTTCATTAAGTGGTGCATCAAGAAATCTGGCTATGTAAGTATGTGCAGACAGATGCAGGGGCCAAATTAACCCTGCAGTTGCAGATGGATTGCTCATGTGCTGGAATGATAGGCTTGGAAGATGGAGAAGGGCATGGTCTAAAGCTAACTACTCAGAGTCCTTTTGCACCGAAGCAAGAAGTCACTTGAGAACCTAGAATAGGGATGGTATGTAGCAGCATGGTTTAGAATTCTTAGCAAGGTCCAAAACACCTGAATTCAGATCTTGGGTCTGCTCCTGGGTTGGCAGTTTAGTCTTTTGGACCTCATATTCCCCATCTTTATGGTGAGCTGTTATTTATTCTTAGCAAAACTGAATACCAGAGTCCGTTTGTCTTTCAGAGGTGCTCCCTAGACATCAAGGTGTTCCCAGTGAATTTTTTTGGATTGTTAGATGGCTATCTAATCAAATATTTTCATGACTCATTGCATTTCTCTGGCAGGTGGTGCCTACATTTGATAATGGAGCCCTTTCAGGCTGTAAATTCTTCAGGATTTAAAGGGATGAACCCAGTGACAACTCAGGAACTGAGACATCTGGGTGGGGAGAATGAGTTTATTGAGGGACTGAAGAGTTTGGGCGCAGCTTAATCCCAGGCATCATTTGCCCAAAAAGCTGGCATAGTTGAGGTCAGTGAAACCCGGGGAAGAAGCCCACCTGTGCACACACACAGGCACAGAAGTGACACTGAGGCAGGAGCCCAGGACAGTGAGTGCCTCAAGACCGATGAAGCTTGAAGCTTGGGATTCATCAAAGGGAGTGGTGGTTTCAGAGGCACAGTGAGGCCTCAGGAAACAATTTATAGAAACTTTCCTCTCAGGGTCAAGGGCCAGCGTTCCAATCTGAGACTTTATTGTCCTTTAAGAACTGTATTAGGGTCAACAAACCAGGAAGATCTGGGTTTCAATCTCACTTCTCCTACTTGTTGCTGTGTGATTTTAGGGGGCTCAAACTCTAAACTTGTTTCCTCATTTCCAAATTAGGGAAAATAACATGATGATCCCACAAGATTATTTTGCCTTCTGCAATAAGATAATGAATGCAAAAACAACTTTTTATGTACAGAGGACTGGGTGGGGCCGGGGGAGTATTACAGGTTGAGTACCTCCTATCAGAAGGGGACCAGAAAAATGTTTCAGATTTTGCAATATTTGAATTGATTTACCAATTTGAGCATCCCTAATCTGAAAATCCAAAATCTGAGAGGCCCCAAAATCCAAAACCCTTCGTGTATCATGTCCACACTCAAACAGTTTCAGATTTCAGAGCACTTTGGACTTCAGATTTTTTTCAGTTAGGAATTCCCAACCTGTATCATCTTTAATCTTCTGTCTCTGACAGGTGCCATCCAGATTCCAACAGTGTCTTTTAGCCATGAGGAGTCCAACACCACGGCCCTGGCTGAGTTTGGAGAATACATTCAGAGAGGTCAGCTGAGAACTGTGGGCAAAGGGTGTTAGAGATAGCAGTGGAAACACAATCCTTGTACAAGGTGATAAAGAAGTGTATTTTGTCACTGATCCGAGGACAATCTAATTCTTGGGGTTTCTTTTGAACCTGGTGGGTAAGTATGAAAGGGAGAACCTCAGTTACTGGTGGAGGCAGAGTAGTACTATTGATTTGCCCTTTGAAGGACTAAGCCACATAGCCATTGGGTTGGAATTAAACTCTCCCAATCTTTGCCCTAAATATGTGTCAATCAGTAGATATAATTAAAGGTATAACTAAGGATTCCTTCTACCTGGGCAAATATGTAGTACTATGCTTCATGCACTGCCCACCCTTGTCTACACACACACACACACACACACACACACACACAAACACACACACACACCCCCCTGTATCCCATACACGCATTCCACCTCAGGAGGCCTACTCATTTCTAAGCCTCTAGGCCCATGATGGCGAACCTTTTAGAGATGAATGCCCAAACTGCAACCACTGATTTATCACAAAGTGCCAACACTGCAATTAAACCTGAATACTGAGCTTTTAGTTTGGAAAAAACAATTCATACATTAACATCTTTTGTCTTAAAAGAAAAACAACACAGGTACCATAGGTTCACCACCACTGCTCTAGGCAGTGAACAGTTTTGAGCTGTCCTCTCTCCCTTCATCTCTACCACCATGCAGCATAGAACAAGGAAGGATAGCCAGAGAAGGAAAGAATCTTGGAAGCCCCTGTCCCCTTGTGAAAATTTCATGGAGAGTAGGGAGGCATCCTTCTAAAATAAATAAAAAGCAGCCCCTCTGAAATTTTCAGGTGGAAGAGGCTGGCCTAGGAGCACAAGTGGCCCCTACCCCTAACACTCTGGGGCAGATGAATCTGGAATTAATGCCTAGCCATCAAACTGGGAGGCCAAGCAGAAAGTCTTTATCAAATAGTTGATTTTTAAAAAGAGTGAGAAATAAACTAGATACGCTGGCTGATGAGCTAAAATCACCTTCTTCGGTTTTTTTGTTTTCTGGTGTCCCCAGAGGTACATATAACTTCTTCCCAAAAAGCCCAGAGGAAAATATAAGTTCTTTCTCTCCTGTCTCTAAAGCCACCTGTATTAGGCCCACCAATAATCTGAATAATCAACCCGGGGAACATACACACCTGCACTCAGGAGTGTGGCATTGTACCAGTCAGAATAATCTTTTAACTCCATGTAACACAAACAGTAGAAGTGAAAATAGAAAGTAGGAAATTTCACAAAGTAGAAAAGTACCTTTGAATCTTTTTTATAGGGACCATGTTTGACTCTGAGTAACTTGGATATTGGGAACTACTATATTCAAGATATAATACACCCTCTCCTCTGCAAAGATTTCTACATGTCATCATATGTTATAGATCAGTCAAAGCCAGATCTTGAGATACTGAGCATTCTTAATGGCGGAGTCTTTGCCTGTTATTATATAATCATAGCACATTAAAATAGGAGGAAGAGAAGATTCGGAGATTGAGCAGGCCCATCAGAAGTCAGATTGATTTTGCCTCAGGAGGCTTCATAAAGGAAAATGCATGTTAAAACAAAAAAGAGTAGGGAGCACTAAATGGAAGGAAGACCAAAGGAAGCTATTAAACTTGGTTTTCTCTCCCACTTTTATCCTTTGCCTCTAGTCTTTCCTACAGTGTTCCAAGCCAGCTTTATCAAGCATGAAGTTGTAGGAAACTACAGCCACCTATTCACTGTGCAAGGCTCAGACCCCAGCTTGCAGCCCTACATGCTGTTGGCTCACTTTGATGTCGTGCCTGCCCCTGAGGAAGGCTGGGAGGTGCCACCATTCTCCGGGCTGAAGCGTGATGGCTTCATCCATGGTCGGGGCACGCTGGACAACAAGAACTCCGTCATGGTCTGAAATGCTCTTTCTTCTACCTCGGGGCCCTAAAGATAATCCAGGATAGGTGTGTTTGGCTGACTTCTGGGAGGAAGGAAGTTATGGTAGCAAGAATCTTGGCTCCAAGAGACCTGGGTTCCAGCCATCAGTTTGTTCCTTTCTTTTGCTGGACCTTGATTTCTCACATGTGCAGGGATTGGAGTAGTAGAAAATCCCCAGGGACCCTTTCAGCCCTGACATTAATAAATGTATGCTTGGGCCAGGGATTTAGCTCATTGGTTTCACCGCCTGCTGTGCAAGCGCAAAGAACCAAGTTCGATCCCCTCCCCGGTACCAAAAAAAAAAAAATGCTTTTCTCCAGGTGGAAAATATTTTATGCAACATTCTACTTCCCCACCTTGGGTCCCCTGGGAGCATTTGAATTTGTTCTCTTTAAAGAGAGTCTATCAGAGCCTAGCTCCACCAGCCCTGATGGAAACAGCTGGATGTCTCTGATATCCTACTTAGATAATCCAACTCTCTCCTCTTCCATTGTTTTTCTAAACCCCAGGCGATCCTGCAGGCCTTGGACCTCCTGCTGTTCAGAAACTACATCCCACGGAGATCCTTCTTTGTTGCGCTGGGTCACGATGAAGAGGTAGAGCCCCTCACACTGTACCTGGCTCTGGTTCCCTTGTTGGGGTGGGGTGCAGGTACTTCACCATACCCCAGTGTGCTCCCAGCTATAAGGACTTCACGGGCTGGTGTTGTGGTTTGCCAACTTCCCTGGGAGTCTGTGCCAAACTATGTAAGGACCCTGACCGAAATTCAGATTACCGGGTCCTGTGACAAAAACCTGAATTTTTATCAGACTCCCTGGTAATATCTGAAGCAGGCAGGTCGTCTATCACCTGTCCCCTTAGAAGAAGTGGGGTGATAGGTAACTGAACAGGGAGACTTATTTCCAATACAGCTAGTTGTTTTGACCCTGGACAAGTCACTTTACTCTCTGGGTCCCAGTTTCTTCCTCTTCTTTCTTTTTAGTAGTAGCAGGAATACCGGGAATCAAACTCAGGGCTGTGTGCTTGTCCAGCAGGTGCTGCAGCACTAAGCTGCATCCCCGGCCCAGTTTCTCCATTTGTGAAATGAAGGGAGCTGGACTCTCCCAGCTGTGACATTCCAGGAAGCTGGGAGGCAGGACTGTCTCAGGCCTGCCCCCCAGAAAGGAAACTAGAAGGAAGACTTGGGGGCCCCTGTCTAAGCTGAATGCATCTCCATCAGCTACCTCTGGGGGTCTTTCTGGCTGAGAAGGACTGTGGCTCTGGGTTCAATGTCTGCAGGTATCAGGGACAAATGGGGCTCAGAAAATCTCGGCACTGCTACAGGCCAGGGGCGTCCAGCTGGCTTTCATTGTGGATGAGGGCAGCTTCATCTTGAATGGTTTCCTTCCCAGCCTCAAAAAGTCCTTTGCCATGTGAGTAAAGCATCCCTGCCCCACCTGGAAAGGAGTCTCCCCACCCGACCTGAGGTGTCTGTGAGCCATGCTGAGGCCAGTCCACTCCACCCCTACTGCCCTAGTCACCCTCACCTTCCACTTCCCTTCTTCCTCTAGTGTAGATTATTTTAAGGTAGCATGAAGCCGACCCCCTAGGCCACCTGAGCACCATGCAGATGGGCTTGTGGGTCTGCGGGATAATTTGGGGTGGAGAGAGGTCAGGAGGGCCATCGCTGATCCCCTTTGACAGGATTTCCGTCACAGAGAAGGGTGCAATGGACCTCATGCTTCAGGTAAATATGACTCCAAGCCACTCTTCAGCTCCTCCGAAGGAGACAAGCATTGGCATCCTGTCAGCTGCCATTAGCCGGTAAGTGACTCCTGTGCCAGGCTCAGGACAGGAGGCCTGACACTTCCCCTTTGAGTTTGAGGAAGTGATGGTCGGTGCCCTGAACTGGGCTGGGAGGCCATGGTGCAAGCCCACAGAGGGACAGAACTACCCACACCAGGCAAGGGCTGGGGCCAGAAGAGGGCGGATCAATGCGTCCTTACAGCTTGCAGGGCCGGAGACCAAGCTAGGTCAGGTGGATGAGTAACCCAGAGTCCAGCTAATCAGTTAAAAATCACAAGTTGTCAATAGCTAAACTGTCCATTAAATTATTCTTTTGCCCTGGCAGTTGGACAAAGATAAACCAGGGCTATTGGCTGTCGGGTGAGAACAGCGTGGTAATAGCAGCATTCACCTGTGTCTTGGTTTTCTTAGCAAAGTGGGAAGGAACACTGTATTCATTCAAATACTGAATGAATAGCTACCACGGTCAAGGCAGCGTGCCAAGGGATAGGCATATGAGGGACGAAACAGCCCTGGTGGTCAGGGCGCTCAGAGTTGGCAGAGGAGACTGACAGCTTGGCTGCAGCATTGGAGGTATTTGGTGTTGGAATGTCAGAGAGGAGTGGAAGGAGAACCCTAACTTGGACTTGCTGGACAGGGACTCTCCTCTGGTAGAGTAGGGATCGTCCTGCTGCTGCTTTGAGAGCTTGCTGGTTGAGTTGCTGGAGGGCACGCACAGGTCAGTGGCAGAGCTCCTGCCAGGCTGGTCGAAGCTTGCAAGTCTTGAGAACTCTGTTTCTCTTCCAGACTGGAGCAGACCCCAATGCCAAGCATGTTTGGAACCGGGCAGTTGAAGACGATGTTGCAGCAACTGGCAAGCGAGGTGTGGGAAGGAGCAGCACATGCTCCTCACCCACTGTGGAGGAGGAACAAGAGGGTGGTGGAGAATGCAATTAGAGAGCTACCCCAAGCTCTGCAACGTCTCACCGTTCACAGCCAGTGGCTCAGCCATGTTGGGAGGACTTGGCTTGTTCCTTGGGGCTGCTGGTGCTTAGCTGAGACCCTGAGGCCTAACGTAGCCTGGTCCCCTTTGAGAGCTGGTTCCCACTCATCTTTGAGGCTGGTGGGCAATTCAGTAAGCCCAGCCAGGGAAAAAGTGCCTTGCCCTCTAGCAAGGGTGGAGCCAGCTGAACTCAGTGAGGACCCCAAGGCAGTAGAGACCTGGGCCCCAGGAGTGAGGGCCGCATGGCACTGTCCCCACTGATCCTGCTGACCTTCTTTCCCTTTCAGTTTCCCTTCCCTACCAATATAGTCTTGAGCAACCTGTGGCTGTTTCGGCCCATCATAAACAGGTAGAGTATTATCTTTCCTTCCCCGACGTCCCTTGCCCCAAGCCTGCCCGCCCCAGTCTCCCTTCCTTGACCTGCCTGGGCCTGCGGAATCATCTCTCACCCTGCACAGACAGCGAATCTAATTCACACATAGGGTGCTTCGGGAAAGTGGGCGAACTTCCAGCCCTTTCTTCCTCCCCTTGGACAGTCCTTCCTCACGTCTGACTTTAGTCCTTGTGCTTTAGGTTCTTGGAGAAAAATCCCATAACCAACGCACTGGTCAGGACCACTATGGCACCCACCATGTTCCACGCGGGGGTCAAGGTAACGTCACCCGGTTCTGCCCTGATCTTCGCTGCCCACTCTACTGCCTATCCCCTCTGTCCTGTGGCTGCGTCATCCTCCTCTGGCCCCAGGTTGAACAATAGGAAGGAACAGTGCTGTGCGGGCCTGTGTCTTTCATCAGGTAGTGGCCTAGAGCAGGGCTGTAGCTAAGACCTGCCGACTCTAAGGCACATTCTGCATGTGCCTATTTTACTGGGAGGCATCTGTGACCCTCTCCGATTCCTTGGGTCTTAGCTCCCCCAGAAGCAACCATTGTGCTAGTGCGAAGAAGCCTCATCTGGGAGTTGGCTCTGTGACCTGTACTCAGCTGTAGCTGCACATGTTTTATATTTCCCTAACACTTCAGTCCTGCAGGCTAAAGTTTTCCTACCACCAAGAGTCTTTTTAAAGATGCTCACATTTTAGGGCCAGGATTTAGCTCAGAGCTTCCGTTGCCTGCCTTGCAAGGACAAAGTCCCAAGTTCAATCCCCAGTATCAAAAAAAAAAAAGATCCTCATGTTTTAAAAGATTTATCCACTTACCCTGCTAGTGAGTAATTAATGTATTTTACCCAGTGTTAATCCTAAATTGTAAAAGGGAAACTGGCCTGGCATGGTGGTACACACTTGTGATCCCAGCACTTGGGAGGCTGAGGCAGGATTCCCTCAAGTTTGAGGCCAACTTGGGCTACACAGTGAATTCAAGGCTAGCCTGAAGCACATAGTGAAACCCGTCTCGGGCCAGGGATTTAGCTCAGTGGTGCTGCTGCCTGCCCTGCAAGCGCAAGGTCCTGAGTTCGATCCCCGGTACCAAAAAAAAAAGAAACCCTGTCTCAAAAAACCAAAAATAAACAAATAAATAAATATGGAGGGGAACCCACTTGCCATTTATAAAATTAAGGAAAAAAATATATATATATATCGCACTTAAAACTCATGTTATTATTTCCCAAAATCTACTAAATATCAGGTGGCCTTAACAAACTTAATTTCTATATGAGATTTACTTTTCTAGAATTAAATTTCAGGTAAATCAATACTTTGATAAATTTTTGTTCTAAGAATTACTTTTCGGTGAATTAGTCTGCTTTGTGGATTGGCCACTATGGGGCATCTCTCCGTAAAGGACCAAGCCTAGCCTTTCTGAAATCCTGCAGGGAATTCGATCAGTCATGTAACCAGCAGTGCCACCACCGAAGTTTGAAAGGGCACCGTTCCCTTAAAGCACAACGTGACCTGTAGAAGCTGGTTGTGTTAGCACACACCTGTAATCCTAGCTGCTTTGGAGGCTGAGGCAGCAGGATCACTGCAAGTTTAAAGCCAACATGGGCTGCATAGTAGTGAGTTCAAAGCCAGCCTGGACTACATAGCGGAACCTTGTTTCAAAAACAAAACAAACAAACAAAAAAGGGCTGGCTATGGCTCCATGATAGAAGCCCTTGGTTCAATCCCCAGCACTGCAAAACAACAACGTGACTCTGAGGTGGCCTGGCAGTCTGGAGCCTGCGCTAGTGTGAATGATGCCTCCAAATTAATCCCAGCATAAGTGACTGTGTGTGCGGGTGGAATGTGACCAAGCTGTGCCACGTGTGTTAACATCATTTGATCCTCTGTAGACCTGCATGATTGTTATTGCCCGCTTGCCAGTGAGGAAACAGGCACAGAGGGGATGCTTGCAGTTACTCAAAATCACACAGGTAGTTTGCAACAGCCCAGTTCTCCAGGCCCCAGTCTGGGGGTTTTTTGTACCAAACCGGTTCAAAGAAAGACATGCAGCTGTGAAGGCTGCTCCCTCCCAGCATCCAAGGAAAAATCTATCCATAGCCGACTGTGTTCTGCAGTTGGTCCTGGGTTCTTCCTGGTCAGGTAAAGAAGAGGCACATTCTGGGAGCCCAGGATATAGCTCAGCAGTGCCGTGCCAGCCTGGTAAGTGCAAGGTCCTGAGTTTGATCCCCAGTACCAAAAGAAAAAAGAAAAAGAGTCAGATTTTGCAAATGAACCTGAGAATCCACCACCACCACCATCGTCCCCTGGGGATGAAGCATGCTATGAGGGACCCAGGAAGCTCTGCATGCCCTCACGCGGGTTAGCACTCTGGTTAACAGAAATGTTCGGGTTGTCCTGAGAAAGTGCACACAGAAGGCTCCCAGAGTACAGTGCAGCGCCAGACACAGGTGTCTGCACTGTCTCCGAGAAAGCTGTTCTCTCTGAGCAACTCCGTGACCACCTCTGGGACCAAGAAGCATGACCACCTAGCATGATGCAGCAGCCCCCAGCCCTGAATATAACCACATGCCAAGGGCCCAGCAAAGACAAGGGCAGAAGTAGTAAGCCCGGGCCCCTCTGCTCCTACTGCCGCTGGTGAATGGTATTTCCTGGGCAGGGACCAACTGTGGGAGACTTGAGGTTGGCTCAGGCCAGGCTTTCTGGTTCCCTCCCTAGGTAAATGTCATCCCACCGGTGGCCCGGGCCATAATCAACTTCCGGATTCACCCTTCACAGACAGTCCGTGAGGTACGTCCCATATATTCCAGAAAATGGGCTAAACCTGAGAAATCGAAGCCCTAAGGACCTCGGTTTAACGACAATCCTAGGGCTGGGCCAGTTTGGGGTTTTTTTGTTCAATGTACATTTTTCAAAAGCATCCTTTGGCTACATGGCTAGGATAAGGTGTCTGGTTTGGAGGAATTTGGTGTCTGGGGTGCAAAGTGGGAGGCAAAGACTAATAAATGATATCAATAGTAGTAAATATAGTGCACCTGCTGCATGTTTGGCACCAAGGCTAGATGCACACACATTCATTCACAGACATTCATTTAGTCTCTATAACCACCCTATGCGGTGGGCACTGCTTTATTCTCTCAGCCAGTAAAAGCTGAGGCATAGAGCAACAGAGCAGTTAAACAGCATATTCGACAATTATGCATCCAGCACGCTAGCTTCTGAGTCTGTGGTCTACATGACAATTACAACAACCAGGGATGGGCAAATCACCATACGACCACTACAGAGAGAGCTGACGCTACCTTGGAGGGGCCCCTCCAAAATCTTTTCTGACCCCTAGAAATGTGAGTTAGGTGTTAAAGGATCAAGACTTCACAGAAATAGTATATTCATGTGGCTAAAGAAGAGAAATTGGGGAGAAGTAATGGGAGATGAAAACTTATAGGAGATAGAGTTGTAGCTTGGGGATCAAAATCTAGTCCACACTGAGGGCAGGAAAGAACTCTCAGAGTTTTTCCAACAGTGTCAGGATAGGCTCAGGTTTACTGTTAGATGACGTTGGTGGTACTGCAGAGGAAGTGCTGCGGTAGAAGGAGACAGGAAGCTATTGTAGCAGCTCAGGCAGTGCATTGGAGGTCTGAACCGAGGCTGTGGTCATGGGGTGAAGACCGGGAACTCACCTGCAAGAGAGAGGTTCAACAGGATGGGGTGGTGTGTAGATGTGCAGGGAGGGAAAGGCAGGATGGCTGTAAGATTCCAACCCAAGTGCAGTCATTGACCAAAAACCAGTGCCTATGACCAAGACTTAGAATTTCAGAAGAAGAACAAGTTCAAAGAGAAATACAATGGCTTAACAGTTTGAGAAGTATATCATAGAAACTAATAGGTGATTTTAAATACCTCCAACCTGGAGGGAGACATGAAGTAGATGTACAAGGTGGAGTGTTATTGACATAATTGGAACCTGCAAAGTCAATAATGGGTGTCATGATGGAAAGGAACCTGGCACTTTGAGAAAATATAAGAAGGAATGAGATCTCTTCTGGGGCCAGGCAAGGGTGCCCTGAGACTGGGACATTTAAGCTAAAACCTCAAGGGTGAGCAGAAGTTACACTAACTGCTTAATATCTAGAGGAAATGCCAGCTTATTCAAACATCAAGTTGAGCTAGAAAAGAATTCAAAAAGTTAACCTGAATCTTCCCAATTTAACCAAATAGCAACCCAACAAGTTATCAGATGAATCAAATATTCCAGAATACACAGGCTGAGAGGCAGGTCTCTGGCACAGATCATGGAGGGTCAACTACACTTGCACTCCTGGGGTCCTTTCTCCTAAGTTCTTCCTGTGAAGGATTTCATCTGGGAGGCACATTCCTCACTGCAGATGGGAAGTAGATTTATAGCCTGCCTAAAGCCACCCAGCACTAGGGGAAGGGAGGAATTAGAACCAGCGTGAAGTACTAGGGCATGCTTTTCATCAAATGCCAACCTTTGTCCCCCCGCTGGGGGACCATGAGGCCAGGAAATCACTGAATTCCCTCATTGAGCTTCTTTCCACCAGTTTTTTTCCAGCCTCGTTCCAATTCCATGCCCTTCCCAAGGGTTGTTTTCCACCCAGCCAGGACTTTCATCTCCCCAGTCCTGGTACTTTTCCCCCTCTCTTCCCGACCCCTGAATTCCTAGGTCCATGCTGCCCACCTGCACCAGTGAGGAATGGAAAGCTTCCATCAGTCAGAAAGCTCACAGGGCCCGTTGGTCCTGGTCATTTCCCTCTCCCGTACCATGTTCCATTTTCCAGGGCCATGCCCTGAGGGTTCCATGCACAGAGTCTCATGATGGATCTGGGGGGGAAAGACAGGCAGTCCCCAGAGTCCACTCCATCTTCACCTGGTCTCTCCCATGTCCCAGATGTAGGTAGACTCCAGCACCTTCCTCTAAGAAACAAGACTCTTCAGAAGTTCAACAGGCTACCATGTGGAAAGGAAGGTTCATTCTGAATAGGCCTGAGGAGCAGAAATGGCCACTGGGCAAGGTTTTGGGGAGCCTCCACTTGAGGGAGCATTCTAGAATGTGTCGTTCTGGGCAGCAGTGTAGTTTCATCCCTCACAGGGCTTGAGCAGAGTGTCACAGAGAAGATTCTTTCCTTCATGCATTCAGTCACCAAGAGTGTACTGAGGTTACTGTGGACCAGACATTCCTCTAAGCACTTGAGATAGCAGTGAACACGAGAAACAAGATTTCCATTCTAACGGCAATTGTGCGTTAGGGGGAAGAGACAGCAATGAGCAAGTGGCCGGATAAAAGGACACGGGGATTTTGGTTTGGTTTTGTTTTGGTTTTGGTACTGGGGATGGAACTCAGGACCTTGCCTTGTGAGGCAGGCACAGTGCCGCTGAGCTAAATCCCCGGCCCCAAACAAGGGGATTTTTAAGTGGGAAGTACCATGAAGAAAATAGCAGATGCTATGTCCAGAGTGATCATCAGGTGGCAGTGGGGAAGTGAACTGTGGAGTGCAGTGGTAGGGACACACTCCCTCAGAGGTATTTCCATTGAGACCAGGGGAGGAACCAGAGCTGAGAATGCATCCAGGCAGCAAGAGCTCAATGGGGGAGCAGTCCGCATGCCCTCTCTTCAGCGTGTGGATAACAGTAGCATCTACTTCCTAGGATGGCTGTCACCATTACTGGAGTCAGTGATGTAGGTGGTTAGGCCAGGGCCTGGCACATTGCAAGCACTCAATAAACTAGCTGATGTTTGTTTAGAATAGAGGGACCTCCCCTGAGCAATAAGCAGAGATACAAGGCTGGGCGTAGGCAGAGGGACTCACCAATGATGAGGGAGACCTCAAAGTTTAGAGCACGTTGACTTTTCACCTCTCTATCTGCAGTCCTTCTAGAACATTCTCACAACGTTGTCTTGTCCCACAGCTGTTTTACGTATAGGGCTATTCTTTCATGTGAATGGCAGATTTGTTGAAGGTAAAGATAATAAATACATAAAAACTGGTCAGGGCTTTAGAGTTAGCAATCGAGATTCCACCTTGCTGTGCAGCTGCTCACTGGAAGACTGAGACAGGCTGTTATTTAAAATATGCCATCCCATTTTTCAGCAACTTGGTTTTCAGCGTCTTCCTTGTACTGAGCTGAGACATGGCTTTCTGTAACACACAACAGCCCACTTGAGTTTGTTCATATTGCATGTACTGTACTCCTCAGGAGCTAGCATGGTACTCGACACACATAAACACCCAACAGAATCTCACCACATGCTAACAGAAGAGCAAGCTGAGGCACAGAGAGGTCCAGGAGCTTGCCATGGTCACACAGCTCTGAGTGACTGACCGTCCATCATGCCCCTCTCCGTGCCCAGAATGTCTGTGGCCTCCTCCCCATCAGTTTCATAGCCTTCCTTCAAACTTGGGCTCGGAATTCACTCCCCAAAGGCCTCCTTCTCAGTTGAAGTCTGTGAAGGATCCTTCCCCTCACAGCGGAATGCCCAGTCAGCAGCATTATCTGGTTGACCCTGGCAAGTTAGTTACTAAGACAGCTCCTATTGTCATCTGTGTCAGTTCCCATCTTTTATGTCTAAGTATACATCCTTTATTGCAGGCCTTTCATGTGCTTGACACTGGGAACACGGAAGTGTCCTTCAGCTAGTGGGAAACCTGGCCTCTTACTGAAGGAACAGTCTCTCTACCTTCTTTGATTTCTGGAAACAGGAACCTCTAAATGGTTCAGGGCAGGGGACAGTGTGTATAGTCCAATCCAACCTCACAGGAGATGACTTCAGGAACCTTTCAGTGGGTGAAGGATGTTTCAGGACCATACATTGCTCAGGCATGGAGGCTGAGGCAGAAGGATCACAAGTTCAAGGCCAGCCTGGGCAACTTCAGAAGACCTTATCTCAAAATAAATTTAGAAAGGGTCTCTCAGTGATAGAGTGCTTGCCTAGCATGTTCAAGACCTGGCATGTTCAATCTCCAGCACTGCAAAGGGAAAAGAAAAGACTATATTGATTCTTATGTTAGAATGGAATGTTTGGGCCATAAGTGCTAGAATGAAACAGCTCTAAGTGAAAATAAGCTCTGTGTCCCTCTCGCCCACCCAACAATAGGGAAATGGAAATCACCATTTGACTCATGGTAATTTCTAAGCCAGAAGTGGAAACCCTCGCTTCTACTCCAGACTCAGATCCTAGCAAGCTAAAAGAGGGTGTTCTTGAGGTGATGCCCCCCATTCAGATGATCCCCAACAATAGGACATCCCCCTTTAAAATGATCAGTAATCTCCGAACATTTTCAAGCAACTCCCAGTCATAGGTTCAGGCCAGTGCTGAGCCTTCCTTTGGGTAGCTGCATGGGTTTGGGTCCATTTCTACATGTGACCTACTGCTCAGGGTCTCATCTGCATCCTTCTGGGCTCAGGGATTTTGCCAGATTCCCTCTATAGTCCTTTCAGGCTGAATTTTCTAGTAGTTTCCTCGGGTTCCTTCCTGAGGAAAGGAGGCAAAGAGAGAAAACTTGAATACCAGTATCTCAGCTCTGACATTTTGTCCGTGCTGAGCTCATCTTCCTGCCTCCAGTAGAGTTGGTTGCAAACAGGAAGCAGGCATGCCCAGAGAGGGAAAGAAGAGGGTCTGGTCCTTTCGCCACCTGTCCGAGACTCGGGTTGAAGCAGGATCAGCCCATTGCCACGAGATGATTCAGACTCCAGTCTATCGGCTCTTTGACACCTTCAACCAGCACATGACCCTCAGCCCCAGGAGAAAGACACACAATTTCCTGATTGTCCAGTTCCCCCACACACACTCGGGGCTGTAAGACAAGCTCCCCACACACTTAGCCTAAATCTGCTGTGCTGTAGATTGCTTCCAGAAAGGCTCAGCTCTTACTTCAAGGTCAGCTGAAATTGAGGTCCTTTCTGTAAACCCCAAGGCTCTGCCTTGCTGGAGAGAAACGGGGACCATTTTTAAAAATTTTTATAGATATATTTTAGATATACATCATAATCACATTCACTGTAGGGAATTTGCACCTGTACATGATGTATCTTGTTTTTTCTTTTTCCCCATTCCCCTCCCCTCCCTTTGACCCCTCTTCCTCTCCTTATTTACAAAAAAAAACTTTGTTTCTATTTTTTCCTTCTATTCTTTTTTCCCTTTTCTCTTCCTTCCTTTCTCCCTCGTCCCTCCCTAGTTCCCCTTCCTGTTTGAACATTTTCTTCCCATTTCCCAATATTTATTATACATTTTGATCCTTATTGACCCTTTCAGTTTCTCACACCAGAGAAACAAGGCAATATTTTAAATGGATGTCCAATTTATTTCACTTATGAGTATGGTTTCAAGGTGCATCCATTTACCTAGAAATGTCTCAAGCTTTTCCTTCTTTAGGGACCATTTGAATTCGTGTGGCAGTTGGATACCAGCTTGATATGAAATCCAACCCCCTTTGTTTCCACCCTGAAGGTCCTAGAACTCGCCAAGAACATTGTGGCTGATGACCGAGTGCAGTTCCAGGTGCTAAGAGCCTTTGACCCTCTTCCCATCAGTCCCTCTGATGACCAGGCCTTGGGCTACCAGCTGCTCCGCCAGACCATACAGTCCGTCTTCCCGGAAGTCAATGTTGTTGTCCCAGGTAATGACTTCATCGGCTGTGGTTAGAGGGAGTGGGGCTGGAACCGTTTCCTATCCAGTGTCCACTGCCCCACACCCACCCCAGCTGTTCATCCTGGAAACAGCTGGCTGCTTCCTCTGCTGATGGGACTAGAACTGTATTTTCCCCTCAGGGTAGAAGTGAGAAGACAAACAGGAAAGGAACAGAAACAATAAATTAAGTCAGTCAAGCCTGGGTCCTTGCTTAACGTAGGCCAGGAAGGTCCTGCACCCCCTGGCCTAGAGAGGAGGATTGGCTTAGAATCCCCTCTCCTCTGGAGGAGCCACAGAGGGAGCTGAGCTCCTCCCCACACCCAGGTTCTGGTTCTGATTCTCTAGGATGACAGCTCAGCAGCAGGGCTCAGAAGCATCAACCCAGAAGAGTGTCCTGGCCCGTAATGTTCACATTAACCCTATCAACCTTGCTAGCCCAGTCCAATTCCAGCAGCTCCTCTCTGGGCCTGGACTCCAGTCTTTATCATGCTGTCCAAATCTACCTATGATATGATTGTCCAACCAAGAGTGGGCAAGGATTGCCTAGGGAGCTTCTTAAAATGCAGACCTGGAAAGATTCGAGTCAGCCACATGTGGATGGGACCTGGAATCTACCTTGGACAGATATCAACAGGGGATTCTGACGCAAGTGATGGCTGACATGGATTGAGAAGCTCTGGTCCATGGAGTAGGAAAGAGATGTTCTAATGTGAAGGCCTGTGTCCTATCTGGATTTAATCATGGGAGCCCTGGCTCTCACAGTCCCAGACCCTCTTCCCCTGGCCCTCAAAGACTTTGTCCCTTACTGTCTCCCTTCTGGGGCACTTGCCATAATCTTTATCACTAGGGTTGGGCTGTGACAGGAAAAAAGAAGTCAACTGACAGAAATTCAAACCACGTAATTGTAAAGGGCCTGGCTACTCATTTGAAACCAGCAGAGAAAAATAAAACACAAATTATCACCTCAGATCATTCTGTGGCAGTTGTCTTGCTGCTCTGTGGTATCTTTTCCCAAAGAACACACTTAACAGGGACAAATCCCGGCCCCACCTGGGTGACCTGTTCTGACTGAGAGAGAGTAGAAGACCAGAAAGAGAGGATCTTGGGACTTTCCAGACCTGCAGTTTGAGTCTAGAATGAAATCGCCCCTCAGAAGATGAGAATAACAGGAAGTTGTGTTCCACTTGCAGAGGCCTGCACCTAGACAGTGTTTATTTCTGACCAAAGGAGATAGTGAATAAAGTTCAGGTGATAAAAGAGTTGTATCTAGACTTCTGGTTTCTAAAATAGCAAATGGCCATGGTGATGGGGATGAAAGGAAGGTATTGTCCTCCTTGGTCATCATGAAGAGAGGACACTTAGGTTTGAATCATTCCAGGAATACATCACCATTGCCCTTGGCAGAAGAGTCTATGTTCCTATCTGAAATTAAGTTTTTGTAAGATTTTAAGGAAGGGCAGCTCAAAGGTCAAAAATGTCATAGCCATAGGCTCCCAAGAAGGGGCAGGCATTGCCCTATAATGACCCAGGGGTCCTAATCTTCCAGCCACCCCGCCTCCTGACTCTTCCTTGGCTTGGTTGCTCATAAGAACCCCTTTTCATCTTCCCTCTCTAGGAACTTGTATTGGCAATACAGACAGCAGACACTACGCAAACCTCACCAATGGCATCTATCTGTTCAATCCCGTCTCTCTGCAGCCTGAGGACTTCAGCAGGTGAGTGGACCAGCTCTGAGCAGAGGGGGTCAGGAGACACATGTGACCTGTGTCTTCCCATCCCAACAGTCCACAGAACGGGAGAAAGAAAGCCAGGGGCTGGCAGTCCAAAGTGGCGACATTGTAGAAGCCAGGTGCCCTCATGGCTAGAGGCTTGTCATTCCCCAGAATTTATGAAAACTGCCTGCCTTTTACAAGGATGGACATAATCAGGATTGGTGAAAACCTGGTGGAATAAGGACCTTGGGAGCTCCTCCTGCCTATGGGAGAGTGCTTACCCCCAGACCCCTCTGTACCAAAGAAAACCCCTCAGCACTCTCTGAAATGCATGCACACAAGGTCAGAAGTAGCCATGTGCATTGACTTCTCTGAAACACTATGGAAATCCCAGACATGAGCACCAATTTTAGGGGCTGCGTGTGGTTTACTATCTTGTGCATTCATCAGCAAATTGGAATGTTGGGTATGGGAAGATAATTTCCATTATCCTCTCTACTATTTATCATATCCAGACCTGATTTCCCCATGATAGGTCAGTGGTACAAGAGAAAGAAAATATTTAGATATGAGCTTAAGGATAACTTTAATGATTTTGTTTTTATTTTTCACATTGGACAGAGAGGCAAGTAGCTCCTCTATTTCCTATCATCTTTGAGGTTACAAGTGTAGTTTGATTGTCGTGTTTGATTCACTGTGTTTTGGAAAGGCAGGTTGGTGGGCATGAGATCAGTAGCAGCGAGGCCCTAGGTTGAGGAGAGGGCAGAACAGGGCCCCAGGCAGTTGCCTGCCCCACCCCTTACCCTTGGGAACCTGAGGCACGGGCAACTGGCTTGGAGAAAAGTCTGGCTGGGGGCTCTGTCCTAAGAGAGAGAGAATTAGGAGATCGTTCTTCCAGAGGACTTCAGAGCAGATTTCGAACCCCACTGGAGTGTATTCTTCTTCCTCACTGTTCTTTGCCATGAGCACCAACTCAGGACCCTGAGAGGCCATCATGTCATGTGAAGTCTCAAAAATGGCTTCTCCCATTTTGCCCTTTCCCACCCTGGAGGATCAGAGGCCAGGAGACCGGGAGAGGGCAGGGCATGCACTTGGCAGACACCCGGGTTGTAGCTCTTGGCCGTCCTCCGCTGCCCTCACCATCTCTCTCTGGTTCAGCATTCACGGAGTCAATGAGAAGATCTCAATCCGAGACTACGAGACCCAGGTGAAATTCATCTTTGAGTTCATCCAGAATGCTGACACGGAATTGGAGGGGATGCCAGACCCCCCTCACCTGCATGATCTGTGAGGTCGAGGGCCAAGCTGGGTGAGGGTGCCGAACCCCCAAGGGAAAGCCAGTGCCGATCATGGTTTTGACCAAAGCCACATTTTGCTATATTGCTGGCCTGCCTAGGTCACCCCTAAGCGCATCCAAAAGCAAGGCCTGGAGAAAGGGAAGACAGCGGAACTCTGGCTTCTCCCTGCCCTTCCTCCCACTGTCTGCATCCTTCCACTGACTGGCACTCACTGCCTTCTTGTTCCTCCACTTAGAAAGATGCCATCTGTCTTACGCTAATTATTCAACTGCGCCACCCTTTGAGCCTGACAACAAATGCAGTGTTTAAAAAGCTCAACCAGGTTTTTGCTGATAAAAGTGTTCATTTAGGGGCTTTAGTGCCCTTTTCAAGGTTTGTATGTTGCTTCTTGCCAGAACTTTCTCCGCGCCCCGCCCTCTCTCCCGGGGCCTTCACACTGAACTACCTCCTCAGCCATTTTCATTTGTCCACTTTGCGACAGGGTCTCACTAAGTCGCCCAGTTGGAACTTGAACTTGCAACCCTTCAGCCTCTGCCTCTCTCAGTGCTAGGATTAGAGGTACACACCACCTCACCTGGCTCAGCCTGTCTCTTCTGGAACTCACGAGCTGGGTCTTTATCTCTCCTCACCTGCCCCTGCCTCCCTCTCCCTGCTCTAACAGTTAAAACACATCTGAAGCAGGACTCACTGAAGCTGAAGCTAGTGCAATTGCCGCCACAGTTGGTCGGTAAAGGGACCTAAGCAGCACCAGCTGGTGAGGTTGAGGGGCCGGCCTGAGCAGGGACCTCGGGAAACCCCAGACCTCCTCACTCTGAAGCCTGGGGCCTGGAAAAGAAAGCCTCTGTCCTTGGGCTCCTCCCAAGGGCTGCCTGGGCTTTGCTCCCTCCCCTGGCCTGTTCCTGCCACCTGCTGCTGCTGTCCCACCCCAGGAGGCACTAATCTGTGGGAACATTTCCTGGCACATCCTATGGGCTGAGCTCCCAAGGGAAGGGAACTCATGACAGCAGAGCCCTGGCCCTGGCATCGTGTCCTGCTTCAGGCCAATCAAGGGGAAGAGGGTGGCCCAAGGCAGGAGGGGAAGGGGGAGACTGCCCTGGGGGCTGTGCCCTGGGCTCGGGGGACACGGAGAGACACAGCAGCCTCCATCGGGGCTAGCAGAGCCCTGTCTTTTTGCTCTGGACTCCAGCGCTGAGCATACTCGACTGCGCAGTCGGTGCCAGGTGGGGGCATTGGAAAGCAGCATTGCTGTGGCTCGAGGCCAGGAGCTGTGCTTTGTGGATCACAAGGAAGTTGGGGTCACAGAGGGAACTGGGACTTGAGAGGCTCCCCTCTTCTCTCCTCCCGTGCCCTCCCGGGTTTGAGAGCAGTGGGTTCCTTTGCCCTCTCCCCGTAAAGCCCTGTGCCCCTGCGCCGCCTATCCCTCACCTCCCTCCCATGGATGTGAGCCGTTTCCTGGAGCTCTGGCTCCATTGTCAGTGTTAGAAACAGTACAGGGATTATTCAGGCTTTTTTGCTGCTCCTCCTAAGGTTCACCCTCCTCCCCTCGCCCTCCCTTGTTTTTGCCAATTCAGTACTTATTCAGCCTCTGCCGGAGGGCAAGCTGAAGCACAGGAAGAATCCTGCCATACAGAGCAGTTTCGTACCCTTCCCCAGCACAGCCCCTCTCGAGCCCCGTGAAGAAGGAGCTGAGAACTTGATTCCCAGGGCTGTCACACACCTTGCTGGGGGCAGTGGGCCCAAACTGTGTCATCTGCCCCAAACTCACAGTTGTGCCATGACCTAACTTACCATGACATCTACCACCCATCGATTGTCTTAGTCCATCCTCACGACAACTGCTGTGGTTTGTGTCCCCCAGAATTCACGTGTCGGAAACTTCATCCCCAGGGTTTTGTGTGAATGGTAGTAAGAGGGTGGAAACTTATTCAGAGCATGATCTGCAGCGGTGAGGCCACTGGAAGATGGTCACAGGGTACAGCCCAATGACTGACTTGAAATGTTTACTTTTCATGGTCATTTTTATTTGGGGGAAGAGTCAGTAGTCACACAGCAGCCAGGTGTGATGATGCACACCTGTAATCCTAGCACCCTGGAGGCTGAGGCAGGAGGTATACCATGAGTTCAAGGCCAGCCTGGACTCCATAGTGAGTTTAAGACCAGTCTGAATTACATAGCAAGACCCTGTCTCAAAAAACTAAAAAAAAAAAAAAAGAGAGAGAAAAGTTATACAGTACCAGACATGGTGAATCGGGTAGATGAAGACACGCTGTATAATTTTTACAAAGCTGCCTTTCTATTGGATGGCACTCAGCAGCAGCATTCACTGTATTGATAATGCCTCTTAAAGACCCTCACAAAAGGACTCCCAGATTGCTTCAGAAAGTGGCAGGAACGATGGTTAAGTGTGATCAAAGTAAGAGGGATTGATGGCAATGTGTCCTTCACTGTAACACATTTTTTAAGTGTAAACACCATTTTTTGATCAGCCCTTGTATATGTCAAAATATAATATGGTGCCCCATTTTAAAAACATAGAAAGAGGGGCTGGAGATTTACCTCAGTGGTTTTGCCGCCTGCTGCACAAGCACGAGGACCCGAGTTCGATCCCCAGTACCAAAAAAAAAAAAAAAATCCATAGAAAGAGACCAGAAGACACATAGGTATGTGAGCTCCACCTTGTGACTCTGCCAGCCGGAAGGCTTCAACAGGGGCTAACCCTCCCCTCCCCCTATCCCACCTGCCCTTGAACTTTGGACCCCCAAAAACATGAACCAAAATAAACCTCCTTCTTTATAACTCACTAAGTCTGTGGCATCTGTGTTCTAGGAGACAGAAAACAAACGAATACAACTCCAAGGTGTTATTGCCTATTTTGCAGGAGAGGCAACTGAAACTCCAATGTTAAGTGACTCCAAGGTTGTCCAAGGTCATGCAACTATTAGGGACAGAATCTATATGAATCCAAAACTTGTGCTAATAGTCCTGAAGAGAAAACAGATTCAGGAAAGTCATTTGCCCAAGGTGACAGTTCTTAAGGGACAGCTCCAGAGTTGAAATCCAGGTCAAAAATCCCCAAGTCCAGAGCTGTTTCTACCTCACCATGCTGCCTGCCCCAAGAGCTCGCAGTGTTGGGCTGATTCGCTCTCATCCAGGGAGAGGTCAAGGCCAAAGGCTCTTCTATTGCTGGATTTCGTTCTTAGCTCTAGCGCTCTGTTTCCCCTGGCTGACCTCTGCCTGTTCACACCTCTCCTTGTCTGCAGCTCTTCTTACTACCCACTCCAATCCCAGCTTCCAGATTCAGTTCTTTTCCCTTCTCTGACTTGGAGACAACCAGGTCTCTTGTGACCCATAGAGTAAGTGGGAGAAGACTAAGCAGAGACCCCTTCTGGCTTTAGAAAGGTTGGTCTGTAACATCCTGGAGTGGGAAGGAGGGCTCTGAGAGGGAACTGCTCTGAGAACACATATTCCGGCCCAGTGGCAGCTAGAGGTTCTGGGGAAAGAGGCTCGAAGTGTGGGCTGAGCAGGACAGCATGAGCTCCCAAGACTCTGGGCATGATGGGGCAACAAATCCAAGACATCCCTCTACCCCTGCTCCCACTCAGCTACCTCTTCCCGAATCCACCTTGAAAGACTCCACCAGAGATGGTGCACACCTGTAATCCCAGCACTTTGGAAACTGAGGCAGGAGGATTGCCAAGAGTTTGAGGCCAGCCTGGCCCACCTGGTGAGTTTGAGGCCAGCCTGAACTGCACAGTGAGACACCCCCCCCCACAACAAAAAAAGACTGCAGCAGATAAAGCACCCACGCAAGGCCCTTCCTCCCCATCAGGGACTTAGCTCAACCTTCTTACTCCCACCTCACCACCTCAGGTGGGAAGGAAGACAAAATACTCATAAGCAAAGAGAGTGGGAAAGAAAGGGAGTAAAGTTGGGCTGGAACCCCTTGATTTCAAACCAAGGCTGCTAAAAAGATGATCATCCAATATTCTTTTCTTCTAGGGAGACAACAGGAGACAAAGTTTCTATGCAAGAGCTGAATATTTCACTAAATATTGAAAATTTAAAGTATATTTATAAAATTAAACTATTTGTAATTCTAGTTGTTCAATTCCATATACGTCAATAAAGGGAATCAATATCATGTTTCACATACATTACATTTAGACCTACAAATATAAAAATTTAAGAATAATATAAATTAATACTACCAAATGTTCCTCAGCCATCATTCATTGTTGTAAATATAAGATGTGAGCTAAAATCACAGTGAATGTTTTTTGTCATTTTTAATTTTAATGAAATAAACAATTTCATATCACATAGAGAGTAAGTCCATCCACTCATCCTTGATAAAATTTTAGAAATAATTTCTGTAAAATGTTTAGTATTGGGCCAAGGATTTAGCTCACTGGTGCCTCTGCCTGCCTCACAAGCACAAGGTCCCGAGTTCAGTCCCTGATACCAAAAATAAATAAAATAAAATAAAATGTTTAGTATTTGATTTGGAATTAATCCATTTATAACAGGACTTCTACAGGTACTTTTAATTCTTTTAATTTTGTGAAGTTTTAAAAATACAGAAAATTGGGCCGGGGATTTAGCTCAGTGCTTCCACTGCCTGCTTCGCAAGCACAAGGTTCCGAGTTCGATCTCCGGTACCAAAAAAAAAGTACAGAAAAGTACAAAAGAATAAGCTATCCATACACTACAGTCCAAAATTAGTATCTTCATATACTTACTTGCAGTTTTTTGCTTTTTGTTTTTGGTACCGGGGATCGAACTTGGGTCCTTGCGCTTGTGCAGCAGGCGGTGAAAGCACTGAGCTAAATCCCCGGCCCCAACTTACTTGCAGTTTTTAGGAGAAATGGATGTCTATATAAAAAGCTGAAGCCCTACCCCACCTCCCACTCTCATCCCCTTCCCTTCTCCACTCTTCACAGGCCACCATCTAGGGTTTGGTCTCTATCCTTCCAGTGGATTCCAAAAACATTTACATACATGTGTGTATCCACAAGCAATTGAAAGCACTGAACTTGATCAAGAAAGCTTTTATAACTCAAATTTACAAAAAGTCACCATACTATATGCATCATTCTGCAACTTTTTTCCCTCTTGACATATTTTAGATATTTCCATTAACATATGATTCTTATCTGTTATAGATATATGTACAGTATGCCATCATAAGAACTTTCCATTTTGTTCCAGATGGACATTTAAATTGTTTCCAATATCTGGCTACTACAAAGCGAGCCATAGAGAAGTTCCTGGTATTTCCTGAGCATACACACAAGTAAAACTAATACTTGTTTTGTTTTGTTTTTCGGTACTGGGGATCGAACTCAGGTCCTTGTGCTTGCGCAGCAAGTGGCGAA